ACTAACTATAGTCATATTCGGCGTAAAAAACTTATCGATAAAAAAAAGTAATATTAAAAAAAAACATTACAAAAAAAATTAATAAAATAATATTTTTAAAAAAATTAATAAAAAAATGCTAAATGCAGTCCGAAAATGATAAAATGCAGTCCAAAATTGTTAAATGCAATCCACATAATAACTGATGCAGTAGGTAAAGGGGGTATTTTAGGTATAAAAAAATGTTAGGGGTATTTCAAATGATGAATTTAGGGTTGATTTTATCTCTATTCTTTTTCTTAGCAGTTTAGGGGTTTATTGCTAAAGACCCCTTAATTTTTTAGCTTATTTTGGTGAAGTATCTAAAATATCCCTATAAAAAGAATTTGGATAAAAATAACAAGGGTTTCAATATGAAATGCTATATATATTTATATCAAGAAGTATTTTTATTTTTTATATTAGAAAAACTACCTCATATAAGCCTTTTAGATTGTAGTTTAAAACAACTTATCTTGAGATATTCAAAAGCAAAAGTAAGTTTTGCAAAAAAGAAAAAAGAAAAAAAGGAAAAACAAATTATAAGTGAGAAAACTCATGATTAGTTTTGAAAAGTGTTGGAACTTTGGCTGCAGTTTGACGATCGATCACGAAATTGGTGATATTTTATATGAAAATATATAAATACCTAAGGACCAAGTAACTACAATAGTAGAAAAAAGTAGTTGGAACAAAAAAGTCTTTGATGCATTTTTTTTTTAAAACTCTGTGTTGCATACATTGTTCCCAACAAGTGGTTTTATTGTATTTTGTCAAACTTTCTTTTGGATTTTATTGTACTTTGTTGGAAAAAAAATTGAAAAAGAAATTCATAATAATTTCCATTACATCCGAATTTGGAACGAGAAGTTATAAATTTCCGAAATTCCGAGGCAATCTGAAATTGGAATGGATTTTTGAATTCCAATTTTTTTGGAACTTATTTTTAACTTTCGAAAAAACTTGAAAATTTTCCGAAAAAGGTATTTCCGTTCCGTTCAATTTTCAGCCACAAAAATAGTTGGAATATTTAGAAATAAAATCGAATCGAGAATTGAAATTTCCGGTAATTTTATATAAAATTCTGATTCCATCCAAAAAATAAGAAAACCGGAAATCAAAATTTCAGAAATTGCAATTAAAAAGCAGCTCCAAATTCAAAAAAATTCAAATTGGAATTGGTAGAATTGAAAAATTGCATCTCGATTTATGCACCAAGATGTGTTTATGAGCTCATTTCTCACCAATTCTTTTTTTGTTTTGCTTTTTTATTTGGCACGTAAAATTTCTTATGGGATATAATTTTCTCATTTAAGGGACAACATGTTTATAACCGGTGACCGGCCGGAGATCGGCGGTCAACAACGGCTGACCGGCTGGAGGTTTTCCTGCTCGTTAATGATGGTTCCTTCCGCATCCAAGAAGTTCCATTGGTCACCCCCCTACGGTTATTTACTCCATCCTTTGCTACTTGAGCTTGTTGTGAGTCAACCACTGAATCCGTGTGGCTTGCTTAAATGTTCGTTTAATTTCTGGGTCAGGATGTATTAAGTGTGTGTCATGTCTCATTCGCATAAAAAATACCTAAGAAAATTAAAATAAAATATATATTAAAAAAAATAAAAAAAAAAATAGCTACAACTAAAAGAGGGTGAAGTGAGAAAAATTGCTCAAACTCGATATCAGAATAAATAGATAATTTAGCCGTACTCCCTGGCAATGGCGCCATAAACTTGTTGAAGGTAAATACTAACACACAAGTGCACGTATCACTATAAAGTAGAAACAGTAGACTCGAGAGAGTCGTATGTCGACCCCACAGAAATACTTAATTTATTTAGTCCTAACTACCTACTAACAATATTCTTATCCAGACGACAAAAGTTTGTCAAGTTGATATGATCTAAATAATTAAACTAACTATGAAAGCAATCGAACACAAGAAAATATCAATGAAAAGGGACCTAGGATTTTATCTTTCCCCATGCGATAATTCGTCACCCAATTAACCTATTTTATGCAAATTAAACTCCTGATCACTATCTCAAGACACAAAATTACTTATACCCCGTTGTCGCCTGTATTATATGCCTATTATTCATAAACAACTCACTATATGTCTATGCAAACCAATTATGAATGAAACATTAACTAACAAGTCTCGAAACTGGATATATGTATGTCTACGATGCCACGTGCAATTAACACACTAATCTAGTGCAAACTACTTGAAGGTTCTTCTATCCCTGTTCTAATTATTAAAAAGATCTGTCGATCCAATTTTAACAATAACACATAGCAACCTAAATTAGCTAGATTCATGCACTAAATAAGATCAGATAGAAGAAATAACCGGGGAATTAAACTTGCATAATATTAGTAAAACATGTTTAAAATCACCACATAGGGTTCTAACAGAATCCTAAATTAAAAGGTTTAGCTACTCATGTTCTTAAACGAAAAAATTATAATTTTTTTAAAGTACATAAATTCATAAAAGAGAAATAAAGAAGAAACTATGATGAAGGGTTGTCAATTATTCGTCTTTGGTTCTTTGTTCTCTCGCTCTTCTTACTCTAAGATTGCGTACAAGAAGGTGCCTTTTCGTGGTTGATATTTGCTCTTATATAAATGTCCAGACTTGGTAAAAGATCGGGATTTTCTTGCGCGATTAGAACACCCGAATTATGCCCTCCGTGTGTCTTCGGACGGCCATCTCAGATCAATACAATTCTCAAACGGCCATATTAAGCTTCTTTTAGATTTTTCCATTTGGGACGGCCTTTTGAAGATTTGAACTGATTTCAGACGGCCGTCTCGGTCATGTTTGGTCTACGACTTGTTTTCTTCCATTCGACTTTCACCCATTTTTGACCATTTCATAATCAAAACACCCGAATCTTCAATTTGTACATACAATACAATAACCAAGTCATTAAGCACCATTATATCGAAAAAATTCCACAAAAATCCTCGTAAAAAGACAGAAATTGAATGTAAAATCCACACTTACCAATATCCAACGAGGGCTCTATGGTCCTCGGAGGATCATTTTAGGAGACTATTCTTACATCTCATTCTTGAATGCTATGTTGTTGCATCCGCTTTCTAATGTTAAGAGGATGAAGTACTTGCATAGTTACCGGTTCTAATCAATCCAACAACTACGACACATGCTCTTCAGTAGGCCTACTATCGTCGGCCAACTCAACCATATACACAGTTGTTTGAGGACTATTTACATTGGTGACACAAATGTTAGCTGACCGCGTGTGTTAAACTTTAAGGGGGTCATCTGCAAAAATGAAAGCAAAAGGGGGTCGTCTGCAAATTTTTTTTTTGACGTTTGACATAGACAATTAAGTTTGAGGGAAAAACTAACGGAAGCTACCCCATAAACCACAAGGGGGTTATATGCTGACATTACAAGTACAAAGAAGTGATCTGCAAAAGCTTGTAACCACAGGGAGGTTAAGTGCTATTTACCCTATTATTAATTTTGTTTCACATATACATCTCTGTATATGGTTGATCGTTTCACTTCAGATAAAATCGATTGCATTTCATTTATAATGATGAAATGAAAGATCATAATCATATTTGGGTCTATTATATGCTACACCAGGTGAAATACACCAGACAAATCATTACCATTCATATAAATACAAATACACAAACACTTACATTGGTATGTGTAGATCAACGGTAAAAAAATCACCTGATATAGCCTTCAAATTGTAGCATAGAAATAACCATCATATTTGAAGAAATAGAGCAATGACCCTTAGTAAATGAGAATATAAAGGGAATTGACTACTAATTAAGAGAAATATTACTTTATCATTTTCCTTATTTTAGTTTCATATGACTGACTATTAGCTAATTCCTTCAATTTTGCTCTAATATATATATTTTTCAATAATGTTAATGCCGGCCATAAATCTTGGAAGGTGACATCAATATAAAATAATAAGGGGTGTTTTTGTTATTTTGTGAAACACTTGCGGGGTCTAAATGTAATTAAATACGGATAAACACATAAATACATCCGTCTGCTGAATCTGATTGCGAGGGAGAATTTTAGCTTGAAAAACTTTCCAAAACCCTTTGGGATCTCAGAAAATGTCAGACGAAGACGAAACGGCGTCGCAGCTCACCGATAATCAGAAAATCGAGATCGCCAAATGGTTTCTCCTTAATTCTCCCGCCGGCGAAATCCAGTACGTTGCCAAAGGTAAACTAACATACCCATAGATATATGCGCAGAAACGAATGAATGTAGTATTGATTGTTCGCCTTTTTTTTTTTAATTTTTTTTATGCATAATGTTGGTCAGATATTAGGGCTCTTTTGAAGAATGAGAGACTGTATTTAGCGGCTGTGTCAGAGGCGTTTCCTCTTTACAACAAATCGCATTTGATTTGCCTCGAATTTCCCGATAGAAGCGGTGAGGTAACGCAAATGATTTGATAATTTTGAGCTGAATATGTCGGATACGCAGTTTTGGATCGTTTATTATGTGATTGATTTGATGATTTTGCTGTAGAACAATTTTTACTGTTTCTTCTGTTATTATGTGGTTGGATGGCATTTTTGCAAAAAAAAAAATGATCAGAACTCTTGAAATGCTCTTCGTAAACGCTGATGTTTCAACTTAAGTTGACCTAAAATGGGTTTGCTTTCAGCAGAAAATTGATTGAAAGGAATGGTTAATTGTGCGTTGCTTTTTGCAAGATTGGTTGCTTTCAGCAATTTGTATGGTTTGTTGAATAACGGTGTGGATCTGGATTGGAATTACGCTTATAATAATTATGCTATGAACTTATAGAATGGCACTGAAATTACTCTCTGGGTCACGATTTTCAGAAATTTTCGTTGTTCTTCAATGATACAGCCAGTTTCCATAAACAAGCTTCTTATTGTTTTTTTAGTAATAGAAGTGCAAATAAAAATTCTACTGCTGGAGTTGCAAACTAGTTTGATAATGATCATGGTTGAAATATCTGTAGGTGTTTGTTATTCCATGTTCATACAGGGTGAGGGCCCTATTTCATTGAAGTCAAATAGAGGATTAATCTATTTATGCCTTTGATTTAGTATCCTGTATTTGATATGTGCAGGTCATGGTTACATCATTCAGTGAGATTGATAAGAATGAATATCTTGATCCTAGGACGGCCCAAGTTGCAATAATTGACCATGTGAAACAGGTAATTTTCGATGGCATAGTTTTTAAAGTGCATTTACTTTTTATATTTACCCAGCTCTTTTGGGTAACCTTATTGGCATCCAGATTAAGTCTCATTGATCTAGCTTATGGTTATAGTATTTTAAAGTTGCACTTGGGAAAAAAACATCAAAAGTGATAGGCAAGAACAGAAGGCCAAATCAACGGGAAAACTGTCAATTAGAGAAGCAGACCATTCTTGAGTTTGAAGTGCGAAGAAATCTGTCAATCGATTGAATCATTTGTTAGGGTTCTTAAATTTTGGCGTCGTTTTAAGTTTTGGATTCTGTTAGCTTCCCTACAGTTGTTGAGAACCAGTGATGTGATTTCAGATAATTGCGATAGCTTATGCGCAGTTATGCCACTGATCTAGTTGTTACCATGAGGTTGTCTCAAATGGATGACATCCTTATTTTGGTAAAGAAATGGTGGGAAGGAACATTATATAATGCTAATACATGCATATAAATATAGAGGGTCACTGTGAAAGTAGTTCTCGTGAATTTTCTTTTTGGAGTAAATCCAGTAAATTGCAAATTGAAATTACCTACTTGTACATGAATACACAAAATTATTCACTACTATACCCTAAATTGAAGAAAGTAACATTTATGCGGGCATGGAAGCTTAGGTCACTTGGACATTTGGAAGATTTGAATGTGTGGATTGTTCACTTAAGTCTGCATGTTATAAACGAGTCTCATCACGAGGCTGGTATAAGCTAGTCAACACAAACATTTTGTGATATCTGTTCAGATATTCTCTGATTCCGAACGTTTTGTCGTTTTCTTGTACAATTTTATGTTATAGCACGTCGTATTGGTTCAGGTCATTGAAGATGCTAGGCCGGCAAAAGATGAAGAGCTTTCATCCTCGTACGTAGAGGAATACAGGTAATTTCTTTGGTGCTCACTTCTTACTAAAATTGCTGTGTTACTTCAGTAAGCAATAGGTTTTCTGCATACAGCCAACAAGCAGCTGGTGAAACTTGCATTTGTACCCATATGTATTGCTAAGTAAAGACTATGGTGATCTTGTACAGCAGTCGTAGGAGCCCTCATTTTACTAATCTTAGCCACTGACGTTGAGCTTGAGCAAGTTCAAAATGGAAAATAAGAATCTTTATTTTGTTGGGGAGATAATAGTTATTGTATATTTAATTAAGAATATTACAATTGAATTGGCTGATCATACAAGAGAGTTATAGACTTTACTTGCAAGTTGCAACCTAAAGTGCATTTCGGTATTCAAGTTTTTGATTCTTCTGAGATGTTACACTGTGCTAAGTTAAAACCTCCAAAATATCTAAAGCTTGAGAAAGCCAATAATACTGAAGCTGGGCATATAGATAGCCAGTTTTGTATCTTGTTTGATAAAGCTTTTTACTACAGTGGTGTTTGCAAAAGCTTTAGAAAAGAGATTATGAGTTGTTTTTGGGTCATAATCAGCTTCAGTGTTTTCAAATGCAGCTTTTGTTTTTGCTTCTCTTTAAATAAGTTGCTCCAAGTCATAATCCCACCATCAGTGTTTTTCGGCTGAAAGCTACATTGGACATTTGTGTCCTTATTATTTACATCTCAATCCAGTTTTTAAGGATGTTTAAGACAATTTAACATAACAAATGCAATTTAAAATTTATTTTGCAGACACATCAACTTATAAGTTAACTGCTTAAAGTTGATTTTTAATGATATCTGCAAACACCCCGAACTTTTAGAAAGCAGCAAGTATTTCAAACATTACTCACAATCACCAACTCCTAATATTTTTTAGAAGCATTTGCAAACTCAACCCATGTATGGAGGAGTTTGGTTTCTACATTCATATATTTCCTTTGTTTCCATTCTTTCTATTTTTGCAATTCTTTCTCATTTTACTTCTCGGAGTTTCCACGCTGCTTATGTTTTCTCTCTTGCTGGTTTTAAAATATATTATTGCAGGTCTGCCTTGGATGTAGAAATTATTAAATATGTAAGTGAAGCATACCCAAAAGGAGTCTGTTCAGTTTATTGTACTAGTGGAAAAGATGTGGAAGAACCAGGCATGGATTTTGAGCTTGTTGTGGTGATTTGTGCTGCTAGACACAGCCCCCAGAATTTCTGGTATGTTCAGTCTATCGAAGTACCGGTGCTACAATACTCGCATATGCTACAATCTTTCTTTTCTTGGTTAAATATTTTATGCTTTCGGTTCTGCATATGATGCGTCTTCTCACTTAACTTTAACATTATACTTCTCCACTCATTTCATATCCATAATGGACCATAGAGAAGATGTCTTTCGTTAATAGACTTTCTTTAAGTGAGCAATGTAAAGAATTAACATTCAGTGCTTATTTGGGCCAATGAAATATTGGCATATTTGCGCGATGTTATTTCTGGCTGTTCCAATCTTCAATTCTTTTCTGTCTTTTTTCACTTATCCTAGGGAAAGATACCACAACTCTGATCAGAACCGATTGTTTACAAAATTAATCGGGATCAGATTGCATGTTTTAACTACATTAGTTGTTCGATAAATTCAGGGTGTTAGAATGGGTTATTGAATTCCAATCTTAAATTTACCGAGACATATGTGATCATTCGATTATTGCAAAAAACATTTATCCTTTATGATGGAGTGATAGTGAGAAAGGATTTTGAAATATCTGGCACACCCACTCAATCTTCCTTGTCAGTCAGTCAATTTCCAATGATTGAAATTATAGAGATCTGTCGTAATTCACGACAACTATGAATAAAACTATAGAAATTAATATTATATATGAATGGAAGAATGACGTATCCATTATAATAATTGTATTATTTTTCTTGGTTCTATCGGTTAATTCTCAGGGATTGGTTCAGACTTCAAAGAGTTGGGAAAAGAGAATCTCATTATTGTTAATATGGACTATTTGAAAATGTTGGAATTTAAAGAAAATATGAGCAACAGTTTTTAATTTAGACTGTTTGACTTAATAGGATACTAAAATATGTACTTTCGGTGCCCTCAATCGAACGGAAATAGGGAGAATCCTTTTTGTAAAATGTACTAAGTTGACGAGTGGCATGTATAGTTGCATATGTGTTTGATAGTATAATATAAATCATATATATGCTGGTGTTGTGTGCGTGCATCTGGCATATGACCAAGAAGATTTCGTTAAAGGATTTATGATTCTTGCATGTTCTTTTTTGCCTGACACTTTTCAATTTTTGTGTAGCAATGGAAGTTGGCGGTCAGTATGGAACATGGAATTCAAGGATGAGCTACAAATGGTGGAAGTTAGAGGTAAATTTGAGGTAGTCTTCCGTTCATTAACATTAGAGATTCTTTATAGTTTATTTACTTATATTTTTCCCAATGTTGTATTTTTGGGCTAAAAAGAGAAATTGAGAAATAAAGAAGTTAAAATTTATATTCCCACCAGGTTGGAGCTCACTACTTTGAAGAAGGAAACGTCCAGTTAGATGCAAAGCATGAATGCAAAGATTCCACAGTTTTCCAGGTAACGCTTATAATGAATTTGGCTGAGATGGTCCAAATAGGCATGTTTTCCAGTCAGAAGTAATGGAACTCAAACTTTTTAGTGTAGGAGTAGTTTTAGTTTTAATTTTTTTTATCGCAGAAATTTCCTGCTTTTGGTGCTCATTAGGTTTTAATTGATCTTATTTATTTTTAATTTTTCCACTGTAAGCATACGTTTTGGTGACATCCAACCTTCTAGACATCACCTATAATTTGGTACATTAGAAAAGCTTATCTTGAGGGTTCACTTTCTTATAAATGATTTAGCTACGTTTTCATATCACAAATACCCCGTCCATAATTGTTTCTATTTTGCAAAATTCATCTACTGGAGGATGTTACTAGAATAGAAAGAAACCACAAGCCTCGAGAAATATTTGTAGTACCTCAAAGGGGGTGTTTATAGTTTTGAATGTTAGCTGATTCTTTGTAATTATGTCAAAGTGGTTTTTCTAGTTTACGTGGTTACCATTTGCATGATATAAATTATAGACGGCATTATGTGCTTGGTGCTTACCATTTACAATAATAACAAAATATTGATGGCACGTTTTAATCCTTTCAGTCAGCTGATGATTCCGCGGTTTCCTTAACCACCATTATTCGTCACCATGAGGCGGAATATCTGAATTCTCTCCAGGTCTTCACTCTCTCCCCTTCTGACCTAATTTCTTTTGCTTGTTAAAAATCTCTCTTATTTGAATGTAATTATGTATTTACAGAAGTCATATTCAAAGTTGCCAGACACCACTTTCAAGGTACCCTTTCATTATCTCTTTACTCATCTACTTATTAATAGTAATCAGAATTCTTTATTTTTCTTGCGTGCAATCACGTTTTGCCTACGTAACCTTGTTTCTTGAAGTCAATCTCTAGCTTTCTGATGGTTGGATCAAATTATTCGCTAATCCCATCATTTCA